GTCTTACTTTTCTTCTTCTTTCCCCCCTCTTCTTTCTTCTTTTTGGTCTTCCAGCTCCTCTTCCTTCTTCTTTATTTTTCTCATGTCTTCTTTTCCTTCAATTGAACAAACATGTCAAGAGACTCAAGAGCATATCCGCCCGGTGCATTCACATGCATCTAACGATCAACTCGATCAAAACTCAACATCGTTCCAGTTTTCCCCGAGCCAAGGATGACGCAGGTCCACTTACAACTTCAAGATCCACCAATCTTCCACCAATCATCCGCGACGTGCTCTCCCACACAACCACCTATTTCACCAAGAAACCGAAGACAGGACATGCAGTACCGCAGTCCGCCCGGCATCACAAGACTCAGAACCATCACCCTACTTGCATCACTTTTAGCATCACCTAGTACCAACCAAGCCAACCCTTACTGATCCACTTCCAAAATGGCGAGTTCAACCCCCCTCCTCGACTCCCTCAGACTCGCAAACCTGCTCCCCTCCAAAGTCATTCCGGATTCCTTCCAGCCCACAGTCCACCTCGATGTCCGCTTCTACAACAGCAGCAACAATAATGTCAAATCAATCAGCAACGGAACCCTGATGAGGGTCAGCGAAGTCAAGGAGGCGCCCCTGATTTCCATCTCCTCTCCGGCCACTGAGACTACCACCGGGGAAACCCCCAAGTCGCTCACCCTCATGATGATCGACCCGGACGCGCCAACGCCCGACGACCCCAAGTTTGCCTACTGGCGCCACTGGGTCGTGACGGGCATCCCTTACACTGCTGATGGCAGCGTCGAGGTGAAGGGGGCTGATGCCGGTGCCGGCAGAACGCTAACGCCGTACCTGGCGCCCGGCCCCAAGGATGAGTCTGGGCCACATCGCTACCTGTTTCTGCTTTTTGCCGAGCCTGAGGGGTTGAAGTTGGAGGCTGGGGATGTTGGCGGGGTGGAGTTTGTGGAGCGGCGGAGCTTCAGGGCTGAGGAGTTTGTGGAAAGGCATGGGCTGAGGCTGGTCGGTGTGCAGTGGATGAGGGGGGTTGGTGATGGGTGGAAGGGGGCGGAGTAGGCTTGTATGGACGGGGTTGCCCAGGGAATAGCCAAGTGCCGAACTTCCAGAAGGTTCAGGGCCAAACTTGGAATGTTGTGAAGGACCTCAGCTGGTTTGGCTGTGAATACCAGGAATCGAAACTTGAGGTTTTGATATATCATCCATCCGAATTCTGAACATTTACAACCTGCCATCTCAGATTTCAAGCCTTACACCTTCCTAGGTATTCAGAAGTTCAATCATAGCAGAGCATCATATGTTCCATGCAATAGCTGATACTGTTTTGGTGATCTGGTTGGTGCAAGAACGCCGAGCTTCATGGATAGGGGGTGAATAGCTTGGCTGCATACCTATGAAGTTCAATGTGCTTGATGACCAATACAAGGCATAGCCTCCTTATTCCCCTTGTCCTGACCCTTTGTCCAATGACTCGAAGCCCGCTAACCGCATCACAAAGCCGGAGCAGCTTCATCCATGGGCTTTGCTTTACCCTCTCAGCAATAGTGCCATCAGCCATCATGACTCGGATTGCAAGTGTCTTTGTGATTCAGTGACATAACGACTTGGGTCTACCTCTTACATCAGTTAGTAAGGTAGGTACTGTGAAGTTATTACCTCTCATCTATCTGGCGAAAAGCCAAGCTTGGCCTGACCTCACAGCCTCGCCAGCCCTCGCCTCTGACCAGTGACTCCAACCTCGATGCTCACACCTTAACAGAGAAACAAGTACCTAGTACCCAACCGGGTCACGGCTGAGCGGTGATGTTACCTAATGTATACCAACGTTGTATGTACACTGCAAGTAGCTCCAAGTTAGGCGTGTCATCTCTTTGCAAGACGGCTTCGCAAAGTAGGGCCAAGCTGAGTGCAAGTTGGGCGCCAGCATGCAGCTGAGTGTTGGCATTCTACTTTTCGTGTTTTCCATCATGATCCCTGCGGCAGCCATCACGGATACATGCCAAGGTCAATGGCTGCTAACACCCACTTCTAGCCCTTTGCCACTCATCCCTTGTACCTAGAGTCCTAGACAGCGCAGGAGATATAGCTATACCACTCAGGGCAGAGAGCAGCCTACCTGAGACTGAGAGTATTCGTCTAACGAAAGTTATCAGAGCTCTCGAGGTCTTAAGTCGATGGAATGGGCAAGTTGTACGTAAAGCCTTTGTTCTTATACTTGCGCATTGGAGTCTTGGACTGCACGTGCAAACATGCACCTTCAGGGTGGGATGGAGAGACAACACATGATTTTAGGTTGAAAATCTGCCAGTCCTCCTGCTGGTACTTGGGTCAATTGTTCAGGATTCCCGATTCCCTGGGTTTCCCCTCCGCAAGCCAAGGGTTTCAAACTTTCAATGGTAACGCTGCTGGAGACTCCACCGGAGCACGACGTTCCGCGTGTCTTTCTCGGTCGTTCGGATCGCCCACGCCTGCACCTACCGGGACTAGTCGCCGAGATGTTGCACTGCCATCACGGTCACGCCCGGATTTCCACTCGTGACACGGGCCGTTTCCCGGTTTTCAGCAATGGCAAGCACGAGGGCAGTCAAGGACTGGCTCCCAAGTTCGGGAGCTAGACCCGGCTGCCACGCCTTAGCAGTCTTGACATCGAGAACGAACAAAACTTAGTTCCGCAACTATAGGAAAGGATTGCCACACAATGCGCATATATATACCCTCAAAACTCCCCATATTGCACACTCGCAATTAGAGGCAGACCAAATCACTGCGCTACCCCTGAATCTGATCCGGGCCCAAACAGCAAGCATGAAGGTTCTCGCCCCCCTTGTTCTGGCCAGCGCCGCCAGCGCCCACACCATCTTCTCATCCCTCGAGGTTGGCGGTGTCAACCAGGGCGTTGGTCAGGGTGTCCGGGTGCCGTCTTACAACGGCCCGATCGAGGACGTCACGTCCAACTCGATCGCCTGCAACGGACCCCCCAACCCGACGACACCCACCTCCAAGGTCATCACAGTTCAGGCCGGCCAGACAGTGACCGCCATCTGGCGGTACATGCTCTCGACGACGGGGTCTGCGCCCAACGACGTCATGGACAGCAGCCACAAGGGTCCTACCATGGCCTATCTCAAAAAGGTCAGCGACGCGACCAAGGACTCGGGCGTCGGCGGCGGCTGGTTCAAGATCCAGGAGGACGGCCTCTCCAACGGCGTCTGGGGCACCGAGCGCGTCATCAACGGCCAGGGCCGCCACAACATCCGCATCCCCGAGTGCATTGCCCCCGGCCAGTACCTGCTCCGCGCCGAGATGCTCGCCCTGCACGGCGCCTCGAACTACCCCGGTGCCCAGTTCTACATGGAGTGCGCTCAGATCAACGTCGTTGGCGGTTCCGGGTCCAAGACGCCCTCGACCGTGAGCTTCCCGGGCGCGTACTCGGTGAGTTGCCCGGTAATGAACCATTAAGGAAGACTTAGGGCTAACATGATCTTGTAGGGCTCTGACCCCGGAGTCAAGCTCAGCATTTACTGGCCGCCCGTCACCAACTACACGGTTCCTGGCCCCAGGCCTTTCACCTGCTGAGTGGTGATCTAAATGGAACCATAGGAGAACCGCACGGGGAGCGGAAGGATAACCATGTGATATAACCTAGGAATTCGTGTTAGATTTGCATCAGGGGCTGGGGCGATAGATGATGGAACGATCCGAACGAGTTCATACCTAGTACCTATCCAGTTGATATCAGTACGGCCACCATAGCATGGCCCACACCGATCAGTGACAATCTTTAATTGACAACCCCTTTCACGGAATCTAGTCAGGTTCAAGTCTCTGTTTACCTTAATATCGCCCCTTGGTAATAGCGGAGGCATCAAGTACCCGTTGGCTCTTCCTTCATATAGTTCAACCGTTGTTTGTTTGTTAGCGCGGAACTTGCCCCATTTCTTTCACCCAACCACAGCCCAGAGATATAGGAATTTCGGTTAATTGAACCACGCGCATCTGGCCCACAAACCCTTCTCGGGCTTACATAATCTTCGACTTCTCCGCCCTGAATCTTCAGCCTGGACCTCACTTTTCCCTTTTCTTGTCCAGATCCACCGCATGTACCACGCTAACGAACAAACAAGGGGGGGACTGTATGCATTTAAGGGGCAATACCTGTATTCTTTGACGCGGGTAAAGCTAAGTACATGTAATTCACCCCACTGTGTGTGCCTTATTTAGGTAAGGTACCTAAGGTATGTAAGCTCGGGGGGTATCACAGTGTAAATCTGAAGGCAGGAAAAACGATTATTGTGGTTCAGACTGGGTACCCCAACTTCAACCTCATGCTCACTCCAACCACCCATAAAATACGCCCACATTCACCTAATGTCTGGACTCCTCGGACCCCATGCAGGCAACCAGGCACGTGAAAGGGGGCGAGCCTGCTCGGCCTCGCTGCGAATCTGGCCAAAATCATTGAAGTCCCCAGTGGTTCGCGGGCGGGGGCAGTGAAAACGCCTCGAGGAAGCGTGGCGTACTGATGTCCAGTCAATCTTGCCATTCTGCCCTGCCAAGGTTATGGCTTCATGTTGTGCGACTGACCTGGGAGACTGACAGGTTCAATTGGTGCGAGTCCAGTCGGAATCTTTCATAACCAAGCTGAGTTCTTTTCAACCGCCCTTTCTTTTTCACGTCATTTCATTCTCATACATTGCATGTGCAGTGTGCTATCAATGTCGCGTCGTCAACATCACCCACTCGATCGAGTTCCCAACATCTTCAAGTCCAATCGGCTTTAGAGTCGAGCCAAACAGCCCTTAGTATCTATAGTTGACTACCTAATGACAATGGAACTCCCTAGCCTCGTAGTAGGTGCCGTTGTCATCGTCGACCCACTCGTCAAGGCGATTCGCGGGTTGCGCCAATTGTGTGAAGCCATAGATGGCGCACCCGACGTCCTAGATCGCCTTGAGCAGGACGGCCGCACCGTCAGTCTCTATCTCAGCTGCGTTGACGAGGCCATCGCAAAAGATACCTCGGGATATCCAGACAAGTTCATTTGGTGGTTTGAGGACGAGAAGAAGCTCGTCGAGCGCGCTACAGCACAGATTGAAGAGTACGCGAGAAGGATTCAACAACGTTCCCAAACAACAACGCTTGTAAAGGGCGTGAGAACGGTGTTCGACGTCACCGACATATCAAAGGTCCAAGAACAGCTCCGTAACAGCATCACCGTCATAGGACTCATGATGGATACCTGCAAAAAGTAAGACCCGCTGGAAGCCTGGAACCTAAGCAGCCGCAGACCCCGGGCTTTTCAGACACCATTCAGGAATTCATTGGACTCTCGAGCGACGGCGCTGCGGGGCGAGAAGTGTAAAAAACTTCGTGCGCAGACCTCGTCAAGTCTAGCAGAGCAGGAAGAGTCTTTCTGCAATGTTTCCAGCAGCCTTGACGAGTTCGAGTCCTCGGGAGGCAGCTGTGAGGAGCCCCGGTCCTACCTGGAGGAGCTAAAACGGTCCAAGCCGTACGTGCGAGCTGGACTTAAGGAGCTGTTCTGTCCCAGCAATCAAATTGAGCGACCTTCGTCATCCTTGGCTGGCACGGATGCCCCAGAGTATGATCAGAGAGACCAAGCACAACCCCCGGAACACCGTGTTCAGTCACAGACCGACATCTCTGCCGCGGGCCTAACCGCACCACTGCCACTAAACTTATCCACGCATAGCTCCTCGTTACAACCGTCGAGTTCCTCGAGCCAATGGGGCTGGGGTACCACAAGTGACACAACCAATTTCTCCCCGCCATTGTCGACTCAAACAGGCGACTCATCGAGCCCTCCCGAGCACAGTTTGGAACGCTGGCAAAGTTGCGTGCCACTTAGAGTTGAAATTCAAGGGCTTGGGAGCCGTAAAACCGAGCTGGACCGCACTGTAAATATCAGCACTGTCACCGCCGCGATTCAGACATTACGAGACGAGATTCTCCTAAGTGCCGGTACCAGCACAGCAGGAGTCTTGACCCAGTCCAAAGAAAGGGGTGTCATTGCCTATAAGACATTTGACGTCCCCGAGGACTGTGAGAGGTTTCCCCTGAACGCCGGCTTTCTCGCTGGGGCCTTTGAAGAAATCGACAATGGAATATTCGCTGGCTTGGAGGTTTTCGAGATCTTCGCTGTGCTGCAAGAGGAGGAAGAACCGCATATCACATCGATGATTTTGGATGTGCGAGCCCCCAGGAAGGGGAAGGGCAAACAGAGCTACTCAGCCACATTCCCAAGTGTCGAAACGGTTCTTCAAATGCATCGGCAGCGCACGTCGGGAACACGAGCGCAACCACTACTTCCCCCAGGCTTCTCTTCTCCCGCGAGGTGGTCGCTGAAGTGGGTCGCCCGGAATTTCATGGTCATTGACGAGTTTTGTTGGGTCTATGCGGTAATGCCAGACGGTCCTGAATGGCGAGAAAAGGAGCACATCGCAGAAGGTGGTTCATCAGATGTTTGGAAAGTCACAATGTCTCCCTCGCATCAGGTACACTTTCAAGATCACGGGACGTTCGCACTCAAGGTTCTGAAACCGGGCCACGAACATGCATTCAGGAGAGAACTCGAAGTACTGAAGGTTTTTGAACAAAATAATCACCCACACATAGTGCGCCTACTCATGGCGTACGAGAGGGAAGGCTCATACCACCTGCTTTTTCCATGTGCAGACGGCAACCTTTCGAGTTATTGGCACTCTTCAGATACGGAACGCAGATCAGAGGACGCCCAGTGGATGCTTAGGCAGTGCCGTGGCATAGCGAAGGGGTTGCAAGAGATTCACTCGTTTGGAGGAGAGGGGAAAGCTAGCATCTGTGGCCGGCACGGCGACATCAAACCAGAGAACATTCTTTGGTTCAAGGATGGACCCAACGACAAATTTGGCAGTCTTGTCCTTTCAGATTTTGGTCTGGGGCGGTCAAGGCTTTATGCGCCCCCGGAATCCACCCACTCGGAGGCCAATTCTTTGACGTCCCATCTATCGAGACAGCAGTATGACATATGGTCCCTGGGCTGTGTATTCCTTGAGTTTCTCACTTGGTTCGTGGGTGGTTGGAAAGAACTGAGAGACTTCTATCAAGAAAGGTCAGTGATGCGGCTTGTTCAACCAGCAGCCAACCTCCTTTCAATCTCCCAGCGCTAACAAGAAGTACAGATTCAAGGATGGTGACAGGCGATGCCGTAACTTCGCCTCCCTCCGCCACAGATTATTAATGATCAGATCAGTCCTTGGCGACGAAGGAGGTTTGCAGTGTGAATCCACAATCGGCAACGGCTCCCTACAATTGTTAAGAGAGCACTGCGAATTGGTAGACCGTTGTCTCAGCCTGAAGCCCGCTGATCGCCCGACAGCAAGAGAGGTCGCCATTATCTTGGAATGACCTTACAAAAGAGGTCTATTGCAAGTATCTCCCAGAAATAGAAACATTTACCATACAACAGAACCGGGAACCTCGCCATGTAGGCGCCCCAGGCCACGCTGCGACCGTCACTGGCGTTTCAGGGGACCAGCTTCCCTAGGGACTCGACCATGGTGGAGATGGACGGGTGCTTTAAAGTGTATGCCTGGGCAGGCAATACCGAGGTCTACGCTAGGGCAAGCGCCATACTCTCCTCCCTCACCGAACGCGCTCGGGCAAGCGCCAGACTCTCCTCCCTCGACATCATGTATAACACATTCGGCTTGCTGAGCTGTCTGCCGCGGAAGCGGACGGTCCGGCAGTACTCACTCTCCGCCACTACTCTGAGGGAGTTAAGTGAGGGTATATGGCATTGGACTTGCTCTCCTTGCGAGGCTTTGTTCTCCGTGGAGGATAAGCTTGTCTCCTTCCCCCTTGCATCTATCGAGGCTGCAAGTCCTTGCGGGTTAGGGCTTGATGTTACCCTAGCCTTGAACCTAGCTTACCCCAAGAGCTTCATCTCTATCGACACGGTTCGGCTCCTCGGCCTTGAAGTTGTACCTATGAGGCATGGATATTCGGCCAAACGCGACCTGATCCAGCGGCTGAGAGCGGGCAGACAACATGAACCCTTCGATATCCTAGGGCAATGTGCGAATCCGAGCGCCCTGAAGGTCATCAAAGGACAATCATCCAAGCCTTTGTTTATGTTCGACTTCCAGCGGCTGGAACCGGACATACGAATTTCCGACATGCCAGGACAAGGCCAGGAGCGGACGAGTCTCGATGTCCTCGATATTCTAGGCCCGCTGACATTTGATCTTCGTTCCAATTTTGATTCTGGAATTGTAAAAGACGGGAGAGCGAGCAGGGATCCCGATCAGAAGGTTGCCTTGTTGCTGTTGTGTTGCGCGTCGCGATCAACGCATGCTGGGTCGTGCAGCAAATGCGATCCGGCCGGTTACCCTCAAAGAGTTTCCGGTCTGGGAAGTCATCAGGTTGTTTCATTGAGAAGTATACCTCTCCATGGCATAGGCCAATGTTTGTGTATTCCTAGGGCCCAGAACTTTCAGAGACCGGGAGAGGGCTGACTCGCTTTGGAGTAAGATCATGTCCATGCTAGATTTCAGGTGCGTCGCAAGATGTACTTGGTTTTGGGTTGTGGCGCGGCGTTACGGGGCGGCTACTTTGTACAATGTCTTTTAATTCAAGGCTGGTCAGACTGTTACATGCAAACTGGAATTAGGACTGAACTTCTTCTCCACGGCGGTGTGCGCAAATGCCGTAAACGCTCTTAACCTTGTCCTTAAGAGCTCTTCCTCTGGATGTCAGGACGCTGGCCGTCATTTAAAATTTGAGGATATATTCCCGCTTTGAAGATTATTGCGATCCCTTGCGGTATCGCGGTAAACAGTCCTCCTGGTGCACGTTTGGAGAGCCTGTTTTGTTGTGTTGACAGCATTATGGACCCTGACAATGGGGCTCTCGTGGTCTCTGTTAGAATCCCCTGAGCTCCCATAACTGTGGCAATATCTATTCTTTGTAACCCTCATCTTCCCCGCGTGTTGCAATATGTTACTTAGGAGTTTGTGATGTTCCCCTTGCTTGGCGTGCACTGTTTTGTTCAGGGGCTTAGGACGGATACCGTGCACTGCCCCTGAATCTTAGACACACATATTGAACACAACGCTCACCTCAGGTTATTGCGCTGAAATTTGAACCTCGAAGATACATGATGCTGCTCCGTTTCTTTTGGTTTTAAACAGTCTTCGATTTGCCACTGCAGTCAGTGCAGTGAGTTCGTAGAGATTAACACAGCAAATGCACATCCACTGCAGAGGCCCTCAGAGGTTCATTGAAACTATCATGTGAGTTATTATAACATACGCATCTTCCAAATAAGCAGTTGATGTGCATAGGCAGTTGGTGTTTATATCGTGGCTACCGGTGTCTTGGTTGCTACAGCAACCGGATGCAGTCCCCTCCAACCCCTTTTGACACCCCTGTCGTTACTAGCACAGCAGCCCAAAGTCATAACTAAGGAGTACTTACGGATACTTCACCTTACCTTACTCCGTACCTACCCATTCCTCAACCCACTTCCGCATCCATTCGGGACTCACAGCGGGCATATTCCGAAACGTCGAACTAGCATCCAATCCCCGCTTGACCGATAGAATGGCCGACGAGGAAACCTGAGCTGGGAGATTGCTGCCCGAGCCCCATAGACCGTTGCGGTAAAAGTCCAGGAGCTTGATGGCTGGATTCACAACAGCCAACGAAACCAGGTCGTTATCCCCCTTGCCAGCGACGCTCTTCTCCAGGCGCGCCAACCAGACAGGAGGCGACACGATCTCGAGCGTTTGCTTCCCGTTGGCCTGCCTGCGCGCTGCGTCAAGGATGGCGGGCAGAAGCATGTTCCAGGGCGTCGTGTGCGGGTTGCGAAGATGGAACACATCGGCACCGTCCGTCTTTCGTTCGCTGCCCGTCAGTGCTAGATCGCAGACCACTTCGGCCAGCAGGTCAGCAGGGGCCCAGTCGACGTCAGAAAACGACGGACCCAGGTTGTCCGGTAGACAACCCAGATAGAGGGAACTAAGAACCAGACTGGGCAGCCACTCGGCGCGGCTCCACGGCATGCCGGGACTGTTTACCGACCCAGCAATCTGTCCGACGCGCAAGACCGAGACAGACAGGTCCAGATGCCGCGCCGCAGTGTCGCACAGCAGCTCAGCCAGGAACTTGCTCTGCGAGTATCCGTTCCGGAACGGCGTGTCCAGGCCCTCGTAGATCGCTTCCTCAGCCGGTCCGGCGTCGGGCGAGCGTCCGCTCACCGCGCCCACTGACGAAACAAAGACAAAACGCATGTGGCACTGACTTGCGAGCGTAAAGAGATTCACCATGCCGGCCAGCTGGGGGCGGAAGGCGGTCAGCGACAGGTTGAAATTGACGGGCCAGGCGTTGTGGATCACGAGGCCGGCGCGGTCGCGCAGCGAGGCGTACGTCTCCTCGTCGAGACCCAAGTATGGCCGGGAGAGATCTGCATGCAAAAAGGTGATGCGTTTGGCGTCGTCGAGGGTGTCAACGGGAAATCCGGCGGATGTAAAGCGGTCCCCCTGACCAGCGCGTCCGCCGTCGGCGCTTCGGTTCAGACAGAAGACGTGACTAACCTCCGGACGGCTAAGTAAAGCCTGCAGAAGAAGTGTACCCAGAGTGCCGGTCGAGCCCGTGAGAATGACATTGACCGGTGTAGAGAGCTCCTTGGGGCTTGGCTTGGTACTGCTCGCGACTGGGATCTGCTGGATCAAGGCACGGTACGTGGATAGCAACTGCGTCATCGTCTGGCCATGATCCACAACAGCATCATTGCTATTCATGACGGCAGCCGTAATCTGGGCAACGGATGGGTTCTGGTAGACGGTGGACATGGCGAGATCCGGCTGGTACAGCCCGCGGCGGAGCGCCCGTGTCAGGCGGAGAACCTGCAGCGAGTCCAGGCCGCGCTCAAACAAGTTGACCGCTTCGTCTACGTTATTCCAGCCCGTAACATCTGCGACAGCCTGTCGGACAAACTGCCGAACGGCCTTTGCGTCAGTCGGATCCAGCCCCGAACCCGCCGCCTCTTCCTCGACGACGACAACATCGGCATCGGCATACAAGCGGTCAATGTCGGCCGCGTACTGGGCCACGCTGGCGGCACGCTGGATGGTTCCCTTGGGTGTACGGACAAGGGGACGGTGCGGCGTCGCAACCAGAATCAGCGACTTTTCCACACGGGCATGCGCTGGAGCCGCGCGGTTGGCCTCCTCCACGACAGGCCAGATGCGTTCGATCAGGGCGGCCTGCTCGGCCGTCGTCAGCCGGCGGTCGGCGCTGGCGGCGGCTGGCTCGACGAGCAGAGCTGCTTGGAACCTTTGGGCCCCCAGGACAAGAGCGGCGCTCAGTTCAGGGGCGTGGGTAACAATATACTGTTCCATTGAGATGGGGTTGGTTTTCTCGCCATTGAGGAAGACAATCACGTCGTCGGCCCGGGCCCGCCATCGCCACATGTCCGGCACGGTCGGATGCGGCTCGAACAGATCGCGGGTACGGTATTCCTTGTCAAAATTGATGAATTCCCGTATGGCAAATTGGACTTGCGTACCGAGCAAATCGTTATGCCGGAAGACGAGCTCGTAGACACCGTCGGTGGCTTCCTCAAACACAAAGCCAGTATTTGGATGCAAGCGGAGGTAATTCCAGTCGGAGGGTGAAAGTTCCAGTTCGGCTGGAAGTAGTTGGTGAGGAAACCCAGTCTCGGACGTACCAAATCGACAGCACAGCGGGACCTTGGCGGCGACCTGGTCGCCGAGGGCCTGCGGCACGTCTCCTCCAATGTAGAGGATTCGCTCCAAGTTCTTGGCGCAGTAGTCAAGGAGCTCGGGATTCTGGGCTAGCTCGGCCACGATGGACGGCGCAAGCACTGCTATATCTGCTGGGCACCGTTTCAAGGCCTCGACAACCCCCTGGGCAGTGGCGATGGTGGTAGTGGCAGGCGAGATGACGACGTTCCCGAAAGGAATGGCGTAGAGAACGTACTGGCCAAACCCGCCACCCTGGTGACGGTTAGCCTGTGTGTGTGGCCGGCGAGATATGACTCGGACTTTACATGGAAGTGCGGCAACGTGTTTAGCACGCGCTTGCCGATATACGAGCTCTCTAAAGACCGAATCTCGTCAGGAGCCGCCAGGGCGGTGCCGTTCCAGTGGCGTGCTAGCGACTCGTGGGTCCAAGTCACGGGCTTTGGAATGCCTGTCGACCCGGAAGTATGCCTGTGCCATGTTAGACTCTTTAAGACGAGAGAAAAACACCCAACTCAGTCCTACAGGATCCAGATCCGATCCCAGCGAGCCTCTTCAAACGACTTGGCGTAGTGGTACTCGGGATACTTGTCGTTCAAAAGCTTGTCGATCGATGGGATACGCAGGTGACGGGGCCGGATTTGCTCAAGGACCGGCTCGGCGGGAGCAGGCAGTGGGTCTGGCGTAACAAGGACACCACATGAGAGGCGATCGAACAGCGCTTGGTGTGCTGCTGCGCTGTTGCGGGGGGATGTGAGGAAGATCACGTAGCCCGTCTTGATGGCGGCGAGGATCAGAGCAGTAAACCGCACGTCGTTGGGGCCCATGTAAGCCAGGACCTCGCCTGTCTTGCTCGGCTGGCCGAACTGGTCAAGAATCCACCAAGCCAGCCCGTTGGCGGCGTTGGCCAGCTGGGCATATGTGACGGCGTGGAAGCCGGCGTCGTACGAAGTGGGCAGCACCGGCCACTCTCCGTACACGGCATCCGGCATCTCACGGGCAAGCCGGTCGACCATGTTTGGCAACAGCGGATCGTCCTGCCATTGGGCAATACGGGCGTGCTTGGAATCCGCCATGGTTCGATTGTCCAGGAATCGATTGTGCTATAACGTTGTATACAGAATGCCTAAGTCAGAGTCTCGCTTCAAAGTCACAGTTGGAAGATTTGCGCTTACCAACTTACAAGTTACAGGATGGGAAGGAGAGGGTTAAATAGGAGTAGTAATGGATGGTCGGCAGCGAGTCGGCAAAGACCCCCAGCATGAGATCGCAAAGACCATGCATGGTGGGGCCCAACTTACTGTGTAAGGATCATGATGCTTGCTGTTTCGGGCCAGGTGTTTAGTGTCTGTTGGTTGTGACTCCCCTCCCCAGGACTCATGTGCAAGCTCTCGTTTCTGTATTTCCGGGGACTTCATTTAATATAGTTACCGCGAGACCTTCATCAAGATTGGATGGAGGATGAGATGGAGGATTGGATGAAGGATGGACGGAGGATTGGATGAAGGATGGACGGAGGATTGGATAGAGCCGTGGTTTGAGGCGTGGCGGCGGGTGGTCTCTGAGGGCCAGTCGCATCATGTTTGGCACTTCGGGTCGAGAAGCAGCACGTGCAAGGCGTCATTGGCTCCCATGGAGATGCCATCTATCGGTTGAGCTTGCCCTGTCAAGCGGTTTTTCCAATCTCCCTCTGGATACGGAAGGAACAGATCGATCGCTACGCATGAAAGGCCCAGGTAGCTTCCCTCATCAGACGTGAGTTGGTATCGGGGGGCAGCGGGTCTTGGATACGCGGGCAGTGTGGGGCCAAATTTAACCCTAACCCCGTTTTTTCCATCCACCTGCCAGGCTCAGGTCAGTGAGGTCACGCCCATAGTCACCCGCCCACCACAAACGTTGAGATGGCTGCAGTGGCCCAATTCCTCAGATTCCGCAGTAATATTCAGAGCGGATCAAATCCCCAGGCCAGTGCAACAGACGATGAAGAAAGGCAGGCGTTCTAGGGCGATCGCAACATTCAACGCCTGCAGGGTAGCCAAAGGCACTTGCAGAGGATTACACGTAGCAACAGACTTGTCAAACTACCCGTTGGCTGGAACTTCATTCACGTTCGCCCCGTCTGAGACTCTAAGTCTGAGCCACATGTAGCGTGGCGGAGCGGCAGGCTTCCGCAGGCAGCCCAATCTCTCGTGATCAGCTGAGCAACCTACCCCAAAAATGTAAGGTAAGGTACCTATCCTCGCCATAGGACAACTCACAACAAGTCCCACGGAAGCGGTACATCTGTTGTCAATAAGTTTCAATCTCTGAAAACGGAACCATGGCGGATCCGCTATCCGTCGTCGCAGGCATTACAGGTGTGCTCGCATTCACTGGTCAATGTACCCGCCAGATTATCGCCATCATCGCCAAGATCCAGAATGCACCGGACGAAATCACCGACCTGCGATTCGAATTGCAGCATCTGTCGTCTCTGGTGCAGTCGGCTCACAATGTCCTTCTTAGGAATAAGCCGCGGCCCGAGGACCGACCGCTCGAAGACACTGTCAAAGAGTGTCTCCAGCGCTGCCAGGACATCATGAAGGACATTGAAAAGCAGCTGAGCCATTTCTTCAACAAGAACACCGGCCGGAGAAGTCCATTGCGAGCAGTCAATTGGTTCTTTCAGAGCGGTCAGATTACGGCCTTGAAGGACAGACTAAGGGACTCAAGGGCCATGCTCGAGCTATCCATCACCGTGCTAAACTCGTGCGTTCTTCATCTCACTCATCTAAGTGTCACAGAGATTGGGGATATGGTCTAACATGCAGTGCAGGCATCTCCTTGGAAAAGGTCAGCAAGCAATCATGGATGAGATAGCCAACGGGATGAACAGACTCGCCCTTCAAAACTCCAAGCACGCAAGAGCCTTCCGTCGCCGATTGGAAGATGACGTCGAGAGTGTTTCTGCCTTCTCGGGAAGGAGAGTCTCTCTTTCCCTTATGACCGATGTTGGGTTGCCCTTGAGAAAGTTTCTCGAGGCCCAGGACCAGAACCAAGCTAGTGTTCTTGCGCCACCGACTATGTCTCGGCCACTGTCGCCACCACCGGGGTGCTATGCTACTCAGGAGCTTCACCCTCAGGAACTTCCCCCTCTCGTGCAGGCTGCAAAGGCCGGGAATATGCAGCAGGTCAAGGCGCTTCTATCGCTCGGCGAGTCGCCGGATCTGCGGCTGCCTGACGGCCGGACGGCCCTTCATTTCTGTGTCGTGTACGACGATGCATCGACGGCAGAAATCCTTATTGAGAGCGGGGCAAATGTCAATATAAGGGATGGGAACCAACGCTCACCGCTCAGTCTCGCTATCAATGTCGAGTCATTTGGCTTAGCTGCACTCCTGATGCGGAAAGGAGCCACGGTAGACAGTTCAGTCCCCGTGCTGCTCGATGCTATCCGGACTAGTGAAGGGAGCGCCGGCGTTGCTGATTTTCTTGGAGCCTTGAGGGAGCGTCTGGATGATTCTGAAGGACCGTATTTAGTGCATGAAGCAATCGATTACGAGACCGACGAGACGATGGCTGTCCTCCTCAGCGCCGGCTTTGACCCAAACAAACGCGACAGGAGTGGCATCTCACCGATTCACCACGCCATTCTCAGGAGACGCGAAAGTGCCATCAAACTACTACTCCTCCATGGCGCCGATAAGAACGACTACTTGGCCCCAGAAACACATGACCTGCTCCGACCCGAGGTCAGCTGGCACCGTCCCTTAATAGAGTTCATAAGAGTTGGAATAACCCCACTTGGTACCGCATGTGCGATTTATGACAGCGACATTGTGCGCCTTCTTCTTAAAGAAGGCGCTGACCCCAACTTTGTGGTTGCGGGTAGTATGTGATACACCCATTGAAGTTCCCGCCCCCCCTTCTTTCCCGCAACTTATCTGACAGTTTCTTGATCCATGGCAAAACAGTCAACGTGCTACTCCTGGGGCCCTGTTCAAAACGATTTCTCAAGATCGCAAAAACGTTGATCGATGAGGGCGCAGACGTCGGGGGAATCCAACAGTTGCCTTTTGCCTCTGGCATGGGCTCAGCACACGCCATGCCTCCTGGGCCTGGCGGTATGCCTCAAGGACAACAGCCTATCTTGAATGTAGGCAACCTAAAGAATCCCTAGCCGCCATCTATTTTGACGAGCTGACCATGTGGTTCTCAGGATGCTCTTGATTACCTCGACGAGATCAAGGTTCAATTCCACGAGCAGCCAGAGGTATACAGTGGTTTTTTCGATATTATGGGGGACTTCACGAGCCAGATGTTAGTGCAACTAACCGACTTGCCTCGTTTAGACCCGCTAACATTGCTTAGAATCGACACGCCCCGCGTTATCAGTAGGGTATCCGAATTATTTGCCGGCCATCCGAACCTGATTCAAGGCTTCAACACTTTCCTTCCGCCCGGCTATCGCATTGAGTGCGGGCTCGAGAACAATCCTAATAGTATCCGCGTCACCACACCCTCGGGTTCCACGATTCATTCGATTGGGGCTAGCCGCATAGACTCCTGCTGGGATGCTTCCAGGACTTCCCCAGGACCTCCGGGCAACGCCTAGTAGTCTGTTACCTTTCAGGTAGCGACAATGAGTCCACCCCTTAATATACCCTAGCGCTTCTATCGCAACCTGATGCCCCACCCCCCACTGTCCTTGTGGTTGACCAGTTTATACGAGGTTAGCATCGGCATGATCCCTTGCTCTAGGCCAGCTGCACTGAGGGGTTGGGGAAGAGGCAGGGGCTGGCGGAAAAGGGGGGAGTGGTCGGGCATGAATGGTGCTGCTGCTAAGGGTGGTTGCGGCCTGTGCGAAGGAACCGTGACAGGTGGGACTGGAGACGAGGGCGATTGAAAATGATCAATGGTCCTTGTGTCAGGCTTCGCACGCACGCTGGGCCGAGACGTGGAGGCTGCACACGTCAACGAGGAAAAGAGCGGCTCAGATCGCAACTCGCAAACAACTGGTGGCACATGAGAGGGCAGTGTCCTTGCCTAGGTACTTGGAAAGCACGATAACTGTAGCGACATCTAGGGATCTAGGTTGGATTGAACATGCAGTAAGATACCCTATACAAGGCACGAAGTCAAAGAAGAAAGATGGCATTGTTCAAGTTGGGAACCAGCCGCCAGGCCCGGGATTCTTCGCTGTTGAGTAGGAGGGAGCAACTATGAGGTAATGTGTCGGTACCTAAGTTATGTGCCAATACTGGGCGCTTTGGTTGGGACCAACAATCATCCAACAGCCCACAAACAACAACGTTACACTCACTCCTTCACTGTCTTCTTCAAAGTCCATCTCACTGCAACTACGCCGTCGACGCCATCCCAACCTCGGCGAATTTCTTGGTGTGAGCTCGCAACAGGGCTAGTTCCAGTCATCATTTATGCTGGGAAGGCGTCTTCAACCCAAGGATCTGGTCAAGCATGCCCTTCGGGCTCCGGCTACCGCCAAATCCTGAACGGAGGGCAACCTTCATTTCTGCGTCGTGCATAGACTGGAGAGAAGCTGACACATTGATCATGGAGGTGTAATCGGAGTCTCTTGAACGCTGTCGGTAGACACTCCAGGTCTACTTCTCGACTCTTTTGAGATTATCTTGGCCATGTAAGGTAGAGTAACGGGATTGGATCCGAGTAATCCCACAAACCGCTTACAGAAACAGCAGGACTTCTTAACACGGCTAATAACAGCTGAACCCTCACAGGCTCACCGCTTCCTTCTCTTGGCTACAGGACAATGTTACCTCTAACCGTTATTCACAATCCCCTATAGTGTGATATATTGTTTGCCAATTCTGAGTTCCAGACATCTTGCTCTTGTACCAAAGCCAAGCAGCATCCTGTCCTCTGCAATGCAACCGTTGTTGATGACTTCCGATCCTCTTTTGGCTTCAGTGGCTAGCTGAGGAAGAGTGTCAGCTGGCAGGATACAGTGGCTTTGACGAATATGATCGATATTGCAACGTGCGGAATTACTCTGCCACGATCTCTAATGCTGGAACAGATGCTCCGATGTTTCCCTCTTCGTTGTTTACTCGGAGTATGGGAGGCAACCATTGAGACTCCTAAGGGAGATGGCCTCCTGAGAGTGTGTTGCATTCTCACCTCTATTTGACCAGCAAGCCAAGTGAGGACGGGTATATTCAGATTCTTATCCAAGAGACGAGTTGAAGTCTATAAGAATGAGGTCCATCTCAACCTTGAATCCAACTTCCACCTCAGCAGCATCGCAAGTCCTCAACCTAATCCCAGCACCAAACCGGATCATCACCTCTGACGACCAGTTTCCAATCACAATCACTCAAAATGAAGACCACCACCAGCATCGTCTCTCTGTTCTCTCTCCTCTCCCTGGCCGTCGCCGCCCCGGCTTCCAATGTCCAAGTTGGCGATGGTCTCGTCTTCGCCCAAGGCGCTCCCCCGGTCGTCAACCTTACCGAGACGCCCAACACCGTCTCCAAACGCGCCCCATACAGCTTGCACTGTCAGTGTCCGCTCGAGCCTTGGGATGCTACGATACCTTAGTGACTTGTATTTGAGACTAACATACCTGGACCTAGATTGCAACGCTATCAACTTCTTCGACAACGAAGGATGCCGCACCGATCAGGTCGAGCCCTATAACTGCTGTCGGTAGCCCCTTATACCCCTGGCACGCTGATCAATCAGGTACACTAACAATGTCGGTTCCAGACAACTTGCCTGCTGCATTCACCAACAGCATCAGCTCCATCGAGGCGGCCGACGAAATCGTCTGTGCCTTGTACATGTACGTGACGGCAATACTGTGCAATACTCCATGTACAATACTAGTACCTACTAGTGCACCACCTGGCTAACGTGAGCGGATTATAACCTTAGGGGTCCTTCGTGCACTGGAAGTGTCCTGTACAACGTGCGCCGAGTTGGAGATCTTCGCGCCTACAATGGCGCCAATGACAATGCCGAATCCGTCCTGTGCTGGCTGTCGGGCTGCTAGATGCCTCCAGCTTCCAGGCTCCAGGACTCTGGCTGAGAGAGACGTCGCTGGGGGTGGCTCGGTGATGTTCTGCATGTGTGGGAACAAATTCCAGGTTTGAGTTGGAACAGTGAAGCAACATCAATGTTGTTTGTGATGATGATGGAAGAGATGGATGTAAACACGTACTATGAACAGGTCATATGACAAACTTGAAGTACATTACTTAGCTCCAAAACCACCCTACCTTACTTTGAATGCAGTTTCTGTGCAGCTGCAACAGTTGTTTTGTTCGTCTTGCCTGCCTGGCGCAGGAAAAAGAGACTCAACGAAGTCATGACCACCATCAACGCCCAGCGATCGCCCAGCTCCCCCGTCAGACCAGCCCCTTTCAGTTCCAAGGTGAATGGGTGTTTCCAGTTCAATACGTTGCCAAAAATCAGGTCAGCCACAATCTGAACCTTCGTCTCGTCCACGGGCGGTGACGAGGAGGAAGAGGATGTCGATCGTGACGGTCTCGCCTCGGATACATTAAGGGAACGGCTCGCGTGACCAGGTGCGAGACGGTACAGCGTGTACCGAGTTCCCGCGTTGGCATCATGATGCTCCTCCACTTCGCCACTATTGTTGTTGTTGCTACTGCTGCTGCTGGCCCTACCCGTCTTCCGCCACTCAAACGCCTCCCTTATCATCCTCTTCACGCCGACCTCGATCTCAAACCCAAAGGCTACACCATGCTCCTTGCTGGTGGTGGAGCGCACTATCTCAGTCACCATGTCGTGGGGATTTTTCTCCTGGTCCAGCGGGGGCAGCTTGACTACCGTCTTGGGTCTCAATAGTTGGACAACCAAGGGCAGTGGGAACTCATCCCCCGTGGCGGCGAGGATGGGGCTCTTGAGGCCTGTCCCGTTGCGGAGGTAGTAGCCGGGTCCGAAGTGGAGGGGGCCGCGAGGAGTGAAACCGTAGTGTGCTTCGACGAGGTAGAGAAAGTCGTCTTCGGTGGCACCACAGAGTTTGAATGTCTTTAACGCGTTGACTACTCCTGAGAAGTTGCTGTAGAGGTTCATTACGGCCGGGAAGGGGCGGTATCCGGTGAAGGCGGCACTGGGAGGTACTAGAATCGTGGACGTCTGGTCCGAATCATCGCTCTCAGACGACCGCTTTCCATTGTCTGGGCTGGTCATGGTGGTCGTAACTGCTTCAAGGACTACCTAATGAGGGTAATCAACTGGTTAGGCGCCTTGACGCTTGACGGGAATGTCAAGCTTGAACTGGAAGATTGGAGACGGTGTCGCTGAGAAAACTCGAAGTGATCGAGATTGCAGAATCCGCGGCACTGCAATAGTCCTTCCACAAGATAAGAACAGTGGGAGAGGCAATCAGCGAAAGAAGTTGGTTCGGACTGGTTCCGCCATGTCAGGCGAACTGGTGTCTCCCTGCCACGTCTTGTACAACTTGTGCTGGTCTTGGATTTAGCCGAGTTGTTTGCTGCAGTTGGGAAGCCAACTGCATTATTACAACGCCATTCTGACGCAACGAGGCAACCATTTCACCGTTCTGCCCAGGTGCCGCGAACCCCCAATCTTGAGAATGGCATGAAACGGTGGGAAAGACGCGGCCTGACCCAGGCGTGGGTTCCGTACACAAAGCGGGATACTCAACCCGCCGGTATGACAATTTACCTAAGGTACCGAGGCTGACTGTAATTCACCCACTAACGACAAGTCTTGCGGGCAGCATAAGTAGACTAAATCAAGGTGTCTAAGTCACTGGACTGAAGCCTGCAGGCGCCCTGACACTTGTAGGATGGAATTGAGGCAGTCACCAGGCAAGTAGGACTGGAAAGACAAAGATTAGATCTATATAAGCTACTTACATGCCGACACTCGCTACATTCAACCCCCCACAGTCCCTCCCTGCAACAATCACAGATAGAAATAGCACAGCTCTCCGCCCGTGGTAGACATGACATTACCAATCGTTGTCGACGGCGCGGCATAGCCCATGTCAATCACATCCGACAGCTGTGTCAACGGCGACGGGGGCTGGTTCTGCCACGTGTTGTGGGCATACTCGCCCGAACCAAGGTCCGTAAGGCGCGGGTTGTTGGCGCCGGGCGCCAGCTCCCCGAGCGCCTGCCAGACGGCCCACATGCGGTCCATCTGGCCGTGGTGTACCCAAAACGCTGGGTCAGCCGGTGAAGTAAAGAGGTCACCGCCCGGATCGCCGCTGATGGTGTAGTGGATGCCGCCGTGGGGACCGATCTCGACCGTGTACGGCACGCCCTCAGACACGAGCCGGAACGCGTCCACATTCGGCTGTGTCAACAGCCGCAGCACCGTCGTGTAGTTAGCATAGCGGGTGTTCATGGCCGGGCCGAGATCGCGCTTCAGCCCGCGCGGGTTGTAGCCCAGCCCGCCCAGCGGACCGGGAGCCGTGTCGCGCAGCCCGCCGACGGGGCCCAGGTTGACCGTCATGTTAGCGAAGGGGCCCGTCCGCACAAAGCCGCCCCCGACGCCGGCGGGCAGCTGGATGGGCCCGCCGCCGACGCCCTCGGGGGGTACGATGACGGGGCCGTCGTGGGGGACGTACTCGCCGTTGCCGCCCAGGCTGTAGGGGTCGCCGTTAAACAGGGGCGAGTCCTGCGGCGCGCGGGCGTAGCGCGGCCAGTCCCAGTAGGGCTGGTAGCCGGTGTAGCCGCACTCGTCGCGCAGGGCTTTTTCGTACTGGTAGACGAACCAGCGGTGCCACGGCTGGAAGACGCCCGAGTAGTGGATCTGTAGCGTCTGCTGGATGTGCGTCACGACAAAGTCGTCGAAGCGCGACTTGGCCCCGGGCGCCACGCTCGCTGGTGTGCGCGGAGGCTTGCTCTGCAGGCACTTGACGGCGTTGATGTAGGCGAGCCGCTCCTTCTTGGACAGCGAGCCGCTGTGAAGGTTATTGTTCAGCTAGAGAACGGAGTTTCATGGGGTATTGGGCTTGTTCACGTACTACTCGCGGCGGAAGACGAGGTTGCGGGTGGTGCACCGCGGTGTCTCGCCGCGCTTGCGCATCTGCTGCTCGTTCTCCTCGACGGCGCCAATGACCTGGGACCTCGCCTGGGCGAGGAGATCAGCCAAGTCCTGGGGCTCCGTGAGGCCGTCATCGGCGGCATCTCGAGGTAGCACGCTGGCAGCCGTCCGGCCGGCGACGGCCAGAAGGGCAGTCGCAAGCAGTGTAGCCTTCATGGTTGGTGTTTTGGTTCTGGAGGAACAAGAACCAGAGCAACTGAAGGCACTCAGCTTGGCAGCATTGACAGACGCAGGCGAGGCAAAAGGAGCCGGGCTGCAGGGTAACATTAATAAGATCCGTAAGCAGTTGGACCCGAGGCAGTGCCCACTGCCCGGTGCAGGCCTGCAGGGTTCCTGTCGTGGAACTTTTCCCTCAGTGATGCCTCGGTTTTCTCAGTTCGAGGTGCTAGAGATGCAACCAATGCAGGCAATTTCAATTATTTCAATCCTTCAGTCGGTTATGTTGCTGAGTTGGGAAGCGCGTAGGGGTTTCCGCCCACTTGGTACTAGCATCCATTGGACACCGAACTGCCGATGTGCCGATGTGAGTTTCCAGAGCGAACCATCGTTCGACTGCAGCGAAGCGTTGCTACCCTAGAGATCCAGTCGATTCTTGGAAGCTACACGTGTGGCGTACCTGACGCTAGACTCCAAGGCACTTGCCTTACAACTGTTTGTATGGAGGTTATTCCCCCAATTAATTGTCCCCGCCGGGAATACACTATGTACTTCTGCAGGTGAAGTTCCCCGGAACAAAGGCCGCCGACCGAGCGCCGAAGCAGGCTCCCCTCCGATTGGGAGGGCTATGCAAAGTGCTGGGTTCAGCCTTGTAGCTTTGATGCAGTCAACCACGCTAATAAAGGGCGATACCTTTGCGGGTCTAAAGAACGCACCAGCTGAGGAGGGGTGATACTGGTATTTTTCTAAGCGATTAAGACATCCGCTTCAGGGTTTGTTTCTGCTGCTCTCAAATATCGTACGTTGACGCTGTCACGTTTCCATAATAGGGGTTGCCAGCGTAGCAAAGGGGGAGACATAACATATAACCTGGCAGTATATCATACACAATAACAATTCGTCGATATGACCTTAGTAGATCATGTTTTTTGGATTGGCCACATTTATACATGCAGCTGGTTGTCACGAGTGTGGTCACTGTGCTGTAAGGTACCTGCTGCTCCCGTCCCACCGTCAGGACTCAGGACTATACATGGGATGATGCGGCAGACCCTGACGCCTCCCGCCGTCCATAGTCTGAATACCGGGTTTTCGCTGCAGGTGTCTGATTTCATGTCAACGTAAATACGAAACGACGCTATTCGTACATGCCTAATAGACGACTTGACGCAGGAATTCCTGCCTCGGGTTTTGTTACACATATACATGTGGTGTTTCGGTGACAGGGGGGATGCCTTCTGCCCGGGTACCTGCGCACCACACAACGACGCCGTACTGGCCGGTGTGCTTCTGATGTCACGCTGATGCATGCAAGCTAAAACGAGGATGGAAGGCGACGAGGAAACGCAAGAAATGTCTCAAAGGGATCAATAACATAGACATGTATCCCAGTTGTGTCCCAGTGTTCCGGCCATGAGCCAAGGCATGCACTCCTTTCAGTTCATCTTGTTTGGCAGCCGATTAAAACACTGGCTCTCGCGCACAGTGGACAACCCAGTGATATGACCCCATCGTCACCACCAACATCCTCTAACGAGGCCGATCGACGGCAACATCTGCGATAGGTTTTGTGCCAAAAAAAAGTGCCGTCCAACATGGCCGACGCTGACCCAATGCCCCCTGACGAGAATAGGGGTCCCGAGATCCTCGCCATCTGCGGGTCCCTGGTGGGAATTGCCCTCGTCACAGTCGTGCTGAGGATGTTTGTGAGGGTAAAAATGATCGGCCATATCGGTGCAGACGACTGGGCCATCGTCGCTGCAATGGTATGTTGTTTCTCTTGATGTTGCCTTTCCCCCCCCCCACAAACGACGCATGGCATTTAAGGTTGTTTTTAGAGTTACAGGAGTGCATCTTACTTACATGAAGAATGCCGCTGATCGATCCGCGTGGGAACCAAACAGACGGTCATGTTTGTGGAGATGATGATCATCATCCCCCAAGTACACTACGGCGCGGGCCGCCATGTGCAATACATCCACCCACCGTCCAACGTCGTCACGGGCCTCCATCTCAACTTTGTCACACAGCCGTTATGCTTGATCGGCCTCTGCTTAACCAAGGTCAGCGTGGGCCTCTTTCTTCTGCGCCTCACGCCGTCACAGAAGTTCAGGTACTTTGTCATTGGCACAATCGTCTTCACCGTGCTCTCAAGCACTGGAAACTTCTGTGAGTTGCATCCATCCAACTAACGCCCAACCCGTTCAACAACCTGAAAACTGACAGCATCAGTGACTGTCTTCTTCCAATGCCGGCCCCTTGCCCTGACGTGGGACAGCTCGGTCCCCGGAGAATGCATCCCTCCAGCAAACCTCAAATTCGCCGCCTTCTTCAACTCGAGCGTTGCCGTCCTGACCGATGTTGTTTTCGCCCTTCTCCCCATTCCCATACTTTGGAACGTGCAGATGAACTGGAGAGTCAAGTCTGCCGTGGCCGGCATCCTGTCCCTGGGCGTCTTTGCCGCCGTCTCGGCCATTGTCAAGATCACCTTTCTCACCAACTACGGCAAGCACGGCGATTTTCTATGGGACAGCGCCGATCTTACCATCTGGTATGTACCTTAACTCCAGTCCCTCCCCCCACAAACATACGGATTCCCGCGCAACGCACCGTCGATAGCTGACATTTCGTCTCTCCCCAGGACCACGGTTGAGATCTGCGTCGCCATCATCGCCGCCTCCTTCCCCTGCCTCAAGCCCCTGTTCAAGACCATCTTCGAAAGCACGTCGGCGCGCCGCTACGGGTCCAAATACAACGGCTACATCCGAGACCCTGAGAACAGCGGCCGCACGCCCAAGTCAGGAAGTCGCGCCTTGAAGAGCGGCACCGGTGCTGGTGGCCCAGCGGAATTCGAGATGTACGACCGCGCAAATGCAAAGTTCACGGCAAACGTCAGAGCAAGCATTCCGTCTGCCTCCGGGTCCGAGGAGAGCATCCTACAGCAGGCGCAGTTGGCCCGAGTAGGGTCTAAGAAGGGGGGTGGTATCACTAAGACAAGTACCGTGTTCGTGTCGTCTACTCACCGGCTTGAGGAGGATCGGTGAAAATCAGAAAGGGGAGACACGATGGGATGTTGGGGGTGGGTTGGTTTTCAGGGGTACTAGTAGTAGCTGATGTTGCTACCTACCTATTACCTACATTACTTCTGTTCTATGTGGTCAGAGTTTGTCTTACGACACTGCAGAACATAGATACCTACCTTGTAAAACTTCCAGTCAGGGGCGTGCATCTTGCACCTCACGAGATCAAGGTTGAGCAGACGGAAGTCATGCCTGCTACATTAAGTATTTCATTTCTGTTTTCCCGGTTCAGGTCTATTTTTGACCATTGCTCCGCAGGCTAAACTCAACATCTTCCCTCCGTCGAAAGCGACTTACCACACTTTCTGGCTCGACAGGCGGGGAAAACCCGGTGAATGTGCCAACTGGAACCACCAGCCAGGTTCATTCAGCAAAATCTCATCTACGGAGCAATATGGCCGTGGGGCGCTTGCAGCTATCAGCAATTTACGTCGTGTCCAGCGATGGAACACGGATAAAGATGCCAAGCAGGTCTCGACTGTCCGCGGCCTCTGTGGTAACTTGGTGCACGCTTCCAATCCCGTGAACTGCTGAACCAGGACATGAATGTCACCTTGTGTAAGGTACGAGTACACTACTTCGACTAATTGGTAAGATGGAAATTAAAACCGCAGCAACAAAAAGCTTTCGGGTTGCTACCGTGGCGCGTGTACTTATAGTGCTAGATGCCGACGCGAGGAGCCGGCGAGAAGTCGAGGAGCCGGCGAGAAGTCGAGGACTCATCGTCCACTCGTGACTCGTGTCGTACTTATAAGACTTGGAACATGATGCCCAGGGCCACTTCGTCGCATCTTTCCAGCTGTTCTTCCTCAGAAACTCGGTTCGTATAAGGTCAAACCGCTTGTCTTGTCATGCCAAAGGATGGTAAGCTTGAAGGCATGAGGTGAACCGATCTTCAAGGAGGAAAGTTGTCGACCGAAGCTATGCTCCAATTGCGACTGCCGCCACCCATAGGGATTACCCTCATAGCCTTGCTGGGCATCATCCTGCACCTTCCTGTCTCTTCAGCTAAACCAAACTGCCCTATCCATGGATCACTCCTTCCTCGACCAACTAATCTCCTCCAACAGCCTGCCATTTACGGTGTGGGTAGCATTCTGGACGGACTTTTCTTTCAATACATCGATAACGATACCACCACCGGTTCGGAAAAGTTCTCTTACTCGGTCGAGGTCTTTGCGGGGAGTGAGGACGGGCCACTTTGGGCGCACCATTGGACAGCTCCATCTCTGAAAGGGTCCAATTCGACCGGAGTTTCTCAGGTGAACACAAATACCGTCTATCGAGTCGGCAGTATCACGAAGATCTTCACGGTCCTTACCTTCCTAGCAACGGTTGGCGACGGCATCTGGAACGACCCGGTTACCAAGTATCTTCCCGAGATCGAGGAAATTGCAAGAAACGAATCTGGAGGCCCTATATTCGCTCCTGACTGGGATGCCATTACGGTTGGGTCGTTGGCCAGCCAGACGTCCGGCTTGATACGAGACTGTACGCAAAGACTGTGCTCTTCCGGGATGGTCCTTTGAGTTCGTGACCGCTAACGTCTGGCAGATGCCATGCTGGGCGAGCTCAGTTATCAGATCAACATGACCATCTTACATGAACTCGGTTTCCCGCCCCTTAACATGTCCGACTTTCCCCCTTGCGGAACGCAGCCTACGTGTAACCGAACACAGCTTTTTGCGGGACTGGCCAAACTTCCACCATCGTTCCCACCTTTTACGACGCCTGCATACTCGGATATTGGGTTTGTGCTCCTATCGTATGTGGCAGAGCGCATCACCGGCAAGGACTTCAGGACCTTGGTGACAGATGCGGTTTTGACGCCCCTGAATCTGAGCCACACGTTCCTCTCAGTACCCGAAGACTCATTGGGAATTATACCTGGCAACACTCGGGCCACATCCTGGGGATTTGAGATGGCGGAGGAAGCAGCGTAGGATTTCCACTCTGCTGGGCCCGTTCTCCAGCTAACATGCTTTCCAAGGACCGGCAATATCTACACCTCGGCAGGGGATCTGTCTTCGCTTGGCCGAGCCATCTTGCGGTCGACCTTGCTCAAGCCCGCCATGACACGGCGCTGGCTAAAGCCGGTATCGTTCAGCTCAGACCCAAAGGCGGCGGTTGGGATGCCCTGGGGGCTTAGGCGGATCGACATAGGGAAAAGTAAAAACACCTGACCTAGCATTTCACGTATTGTACTGATAGACCTTGAAATGGCAAAAGACCAGTCCTACCAATTCGTCCACACGTTCAACAAAGCCGGCAGCATCGGCGCCTACAGCTCGCTCTTCGCCATCATCCCCGAGCTCGACATTGGCTACACTGTTCTCGCAGCCGGCGACGCACCGCCGAGCCTCACGATGGACATTGCCGACGCCCTGACAGACACTTTCGTGCCCACGCTCATGTCACTTGCCCGTTCCCAAGCCTACGCCACGTTTGGCGGGCACTACCGCCACGCCAGCCTGCTCAACGCTACCGCCTCCCCTCCATATGGCAATACTTCTACTTCTCCTGCCTCTCCTCCCTACGCCAACGGGACAGCTAGCCACTACCCACAACCCCTCAACTCCTCTTTGACCATAACGGTCGACCCGACAGGCGAGAAACCAGGCCTGGGCGTGGAGGGCTGGATCTCCAACGGCACCGACATGGCGCGCATCGCGGTTGCGCTCAACTCCAACGTCAGGCAGGAGTACCTGGACGAGATGCAGCCCAGCGTGCGGCTGTATCCGACAGGGCTGGAGGAGGAACGGGCCGATGGGGGTGGGAAGAGGGTGGCGTTCAAGGCCGTGTTTGAGGACCTTGGCCTGCCAGAGCGCAGTTCCAGCTACGTGACTGACTGTTCCACTTGGGTTGGGCTGACAGGCGTTGTGTATGGGTCGAGGCCGTTGGATCAGTTTGTTTTTGAGTTGAGCGAGGATGGGACGGCGGTGGCGGTTGAGAATGGGGCGTTGAGGGTGAGGTTGGTTAAAGTTCCTGGTTGATTTATTACCTTAAGTTATTATCTTTGGCATATGAGTTATCACTAGGAATCCCATGAGCCACCGCGGAAGCCGTGTTCCGTTGTAGGGACATATCAGAAAGGTAGGTGGCAAATTTAGCAAGCCGATGGCGAGAGTCGGGGGCGCTGGAAAGCTGTGAAGGCCATCGGGGAGATGTATGCACTATGTACCCTCTGTTTGGTGCAGCCAAAATAATGTATGGGAAAACGGATCGCTCGACTAGCCCTCTTAACCAGCGTTC